CAAAGGTGTCACATATATGATTATAAAATTTTTTAAGATTTATTTTATTTAACTTTATTTATTTATTTATTTATTTATTTATTTTAATTTGAGCAGAGAGGGATAGAGTGCGTGTGTGCAAGAGAGAGAGAAAGTGAGAGAGCAAGCTGTCAGGTCCAAGACTCGAACCATGGTTGGCCATGTGGGAATCCAGCATTCTTACCAGCCCTGATTATAAAACTTTTAATAGCCACATTAAACAAAGTAAGAAGAACCAGGCAAATCTAATTTTTATAATGTGTTTAATCCAATCTGTCCACCAAATTATTTCAACAGGTAGTCAATATATAATTAATTGCGATATTAACGTATCTCAATATTGCTGTATGTAAGTGCATCTTATTGAAATTATACTTACTTTTCTACGTGGGAGTCCAGCGACATAGCCATTACGCTAACTGCTGGTTCCCGGCAAATCTAATTTTTATAATGTGTTTAATCCAATCTGTCCACCAGATTATTTCAACAGGTAGTCAATAGATAATTAATTGCGATATTAACGTATCTCAATATTGCTGTATGTAAGTGCATCTTATTGAAATTATACTTACTTTTCATATTAAGACTTCAAAATCCAGGGTTTCCTAAATTCAGCACATCTTAAGTTGTGTTAGCTACGTTTCCGGTAGCCAATGCCGTGTGTCGCTAGCGGCCACTGTATGGGTCAAGTCTAGACCCAGGGAGGGGAACGTGACCTCTGTCTGAAGTGGAGGAGATCCAGGACCCGGAGGGCTGGTTTCCTGACCCGGGTTATTTCCCTGAGACTCTCTATTTTATGTGTGATGACGGATCTTGAGAAACAGTTTTTCATCTTCTTACCTTTTACAGAGGAAGGGGCAGGGGGACGCGGGGGATCGAAGTAATATTCTGTGCTTATTGTTAATGCCAGGCACATTGTAAACCTTGGTAAGTCCTCCCAGCACTCCTACAAAGTGAGGGGTTGCTGTGATCAGTTCTGTTCTTCGGGGGAGAAAATGAAGGCAAGGAGCAGTCAGGGCACCCGCCTAAGGTCTCGGTCGCACAGGCCGGAGCTTCTGGGAGCCCAGAGCTTCCCTCGGCTTCCAAGATGAGGGAGGGAGGGCCCCGGGAGGAGAATGAAGGTTGTCAGGTGTTCTTTTCACGCCTCAGGCTACTTCCTCCCCTACCCCAGAGGTTTTGGCCATAGGGCACGTGCGCTCGCCAGACAGACAGACAGACAGACAGAAAGCGAGAAATCACCCCCCAGGGGGAACGGCCACGCCACAATCCCTTCTCCTCCATTCTCCTCTCAGGATCTTGGGCACGCACGCACATGCACTTGGTGTGAGTTTAAGCCACCGGGTCTGGGACTCGAACCATGGTCGACTACGTGGGAGTCCAGCGACATAGCCATTACGCCATCTGCTGGTCTCAGGCTGCACATTTAAATAGGTTTGGTTTTGTTACGTTGTGGTAAAGTCCTTGAATCACCGGCTTCACAGCTTCCTAAGCACACAGTGCCGCGCTGTAACTGCTCAGGCCCGGTCTCTGCTCTCTAGAACGCCCTCCTCTCAGGGAGCTAGACCTTCGTACCTGCTGGCAGGCGCCCCTCATTCCCGCATCCCCAGCCCCTGGCAGCCGCCATCCCACTTCTGTCTGTAAGAGTTCAGCTGTGGGGCCAGCAGGGGGTGTGGTGGTTAAGGCTCTGGACTCCTACACGGCCAACCACAGTTCGAGTCCCAGACCCGGCGGCTTGACGATCACACTGGGCAGCTGTGTGCACGCCTGAACTCCCTAGAGCTTGAGGGAGGAGAAGGGATTGCGGCATGGCTGTCCCGCCAACCCCTGGGGGGTGATTTCTCTCTTTCCCGCTCACTGTTTCTCTGTCTCTCTTGTGAGTGCATGCACCCTATGGCAAGAAAACAGAAACAAAGACAAAAAAAAACCAAAACAAAGTAAAAACGAACTAGAAAAGGACTTTGACCCTTTTCAGCATCCTCGCACCACTGGAGTCACGGTGCTCGTCCTGCTGGGACTGACTTAGCTCACCTGGCCTGAGCCCGCAGGTTCCCGTGTTTGGCAGGGTCTCCTCCTTTAAGGCGACTTATCCCCTGCTGTGTGTACACGCCGAGGAGCCTGGTCAGTGGCGGGCAGAGATCATGGACACACAGTGCTCCAAGACACACAGACGGCCGACAGGTGAGTGGAGAGACACCGGGAGCCAGTGGTCATCAGGTCAGTGTGGCGTCACCTCGCACCTGTTAGGGTGGCCGTCATCCAAACCGGCCTGGGTGACACCAGGGAGGACGGGCAGGGGACCCACACTCTGCTGGTGGGGGCTCAGTGTGGTGACGTCGTGGACAACGGTGCGGAGGCTGCTCGGACGCTAACCCCAGAACGGCCGCAGGGCGCAGCACTCCCGCTTGTGGGCATAGAGCCAGGACAGCCACGGTCGGGGCCTTGGCGGGACGTGTGTGCCCGTGCTCAGGCCGCGTTCACGGCCGCGTGGGGTCGCCCTGGGTGCGGTGGAGGGGGGAGATGTGGTCGCCGCATTCAATAGGTCCCTCTTCCCCTGTTGTCACAGGGCTCGTACGCTCGCCAGAGAGACAGACCGTGAGGAGGAAAGTGAGAGATCATCCCTCAGGGGCGGTTCCCTTCACCTCCACTCTCCTCCCGGGATTCTGGACACCCACACATGCGCCTGGTGTGCTTTTAAAGCTGCCAGGTCCAGGACTTGAACCGCAGTGGCCATATGGGTGTCCAGCACCTTGACGGCCATGCCAGCTACTGGCCCTCAGTAGATTTTTTAAAAAGATTTATTTCATTTAACTCTATCTATCTATCTGTCTATCTGTCTTAATTTGATGAGAGAGAGAGGAAGTGAGAAAGCCAGCCACCGGTTCCAGGACTTGAACCATGGTTGGCCACGTGGGAGTCCAGCACCTTAGCCACCACGCCACCTGCCGGCCTCCTCGACAGAATCTGTAAATGGCCACTTCCTCATTTCTTTGTGTGCCTTCTCTTAGCACATTTGTGAAGTCTTCCTGGTTTCTGTGTGCCTTCTCTTAGCACATTTGTGAAGTCGGCAATAATCCAGTTTTAAACCGGGGCAGGAATATTGCGGAACTTCCCAAGTCTCAGCGCTGGCTCCTGGCTGGTATGGTTCGGATCCGAGAGATGTTGGGGTCTCGTCCAGAATAACCGGGGGCCTCTCTCTGCAGCTTACGCCCAGCGCCCTCGGCTGGGCCTCGGCACCTCCTTTCACGTGGCCGGCACGCAGGGCTTTCTGCCCGCCTCGCCCTCTTCACTGCCTGGCCAGGGCGGCAGCCCACGCCCCTCCCTCCACTTCTCCGGGGCCCTTTCACTGCCCCTGTCTATACCCTCCGACCGGCCAGCTGCTGGTGCCCGTGCCTGCCGGCAGAACGGTGGAGTTGCTCTGGGTACCTTGCTATGTATGTATTTCCCAGGGGCATCACGGAGCACACGGCTTGCCCAAGCCGGAGTACAGGACAAGGTCTTTGACAGGAGGGAGGTCTGGGGCCCTTCCCAGGCCCCGGGCGCTGCACAGAGCCTGGCACCCAGAGAGGAGTTTCTCGTTGTTTAATTGACAGATAACTAGGACTTATGCGAAATGTCCATATTGCTTTTCTGGTCCTCATGAAAGGGTCTGGATAATTGAGAGCATTTATTAGAGATCCTGGAACTTGACTCTCCAGGGCGGCCGACTCAGGAGGGCGGCAGGACTCCGGGCAAGGAGGGTTTCCTCAGCCAGGCTCACGTGAGCTCTGGCCGCAGGGCCTGGAGGAGGCTCCCACTGCCCGCGATGTGCCCGGTGTGAGCTGGCTGCAGGGCCTGGAGGAGGCTCCCACTGCCCGCGATGTGCCCGGTGTGAGCTGGCTGCAGGGCCAGGAGGAGGCTCCCACTGCCCGCGATGCGCCT